AAATGAGACTTATATGGATGAGAAGAGTCCAGGAGCCATGAGTGAGCTTCCACGAAGTTTCCTTGGAGAATTTAATGGAGAGGAAAGTGTAGATATACCTTAAGTTGAGGTTGTATTTTGTAAAGTGTAATATTATTTAGCATCATATTATTTGTATCATTAAATTATAAATTCAATTAAATACAAAAATTTATAACTCATTTATTATGACCTATCACATGCTTATATCTAGACTGGTGTTCTAACATTTTGTAAATTTTTCTAATATTTGGTGGCATTCCTTCGTAAAGAAATATTCTTTTGATCTTCAAACTTTTGTCTGTCACTGCAATTCCATTTAAAGAAACATGAATTCCTATGAGAATCAACTTGCAAAGTTTCATCATTATAACAAACTATACTATTATATCGAATACGTTCATCAAGAAACATTCACGAATATAAATATCTTACATCTTCAATGTCTCTCGATTAGGAATGACAACAGGACGGCTCAGAATCTGGGTATTCATTCTCGTTTTCCGTCCCGTTAGATATTTTTTTCTTTTGCCTCGTTTATCATCTCATTTATTTTATTTTTCTCAAGTTTTTAGTTGGTGAAATTTTTTTTTTTTTTTTTTCAAGTTGGAGAACAATTCATGTTCCATTTCAAAATGATGGTAATTATTTTCTTTTTGTGTGATAGAAAATTAAAATTTGAAATGGACTTTAAACAGGCGTAGGTAATGGGCGGAGGCTATATTCTCCGTACTCAATGTGCAACAGTCAATCGACTAATTTATAAGGGACTATACTAATAGAATCGACTTGCCAACTTTCATCATTATAAGGGACTATACTATTATCTCGACCCATAAAATGTTGAGCTGAATAAAGGAAACAATCAATGTGCAATTGTGGAATGGACCACTAACAAAGACGTGCATGCATGAAAGCACATTTGATGTTTGACTAATTTATATCCATTCCTTCAATTTAATTTCCTTTCGTTTTTTTTTTTTTTATTATCCCTTGCAACCAATTGCAGCTTTTAATTCCTGGTGGGGAAATGGGATTCCTTTTTTTTTGTGCAAAGGAGTATGAAATTGTCCCACCATTACCCAATACGCCTCGTTGTTGTGTTCATGTCATTATTAAAGGTGTAATTTTGATGCGTGCCGATGTTTAACAAAACAATGATTTCAAAACTTAGAGATCAACACGTTCATTGGTTCGTATAATTTTTATATAAATTCTCAATTTATCAAATAACAATCTGTCATGTAGGGCGACTACCGATAGTGAGCAATTATGAATAACATTAATATTCGGTTTATAAGTTGCAGTTTCCACAAAATGTGAATTTTAGTCAACACACTTTGTGGATTCCTACAACTTATACGATTGTAACACTTTTAACAAACATGTAATCTTTAGATTGCTCGATATTCGAGGAAAACATGCCCAACCCCTAATTGGACTTAGATTCTTCAGTAGCCCCATTACATCCCCAAAATTTCAGTGGCTCAGATTACCTTTTCAGGATCAGTGCATCACCAAATAATCTGCCTGTCAATTTCAGTTCTTGAGAAACTAATGTCCCAACGATAGCCAAATGGTCATGGAATCTTGTGAGGAGATCAATTTTAAACCAAAAACTTGGATATTTGGAGATGAATATAGTAGCATTCAAGAATCGGTGTTTGTTGAAATTGCACTTTGGGGAAACCTCGTACCCTGAGAAAAGTTACCGTGAGAGTCTCAACTAAATCAGAAATTATCTAGCAGAAGAGCAAGACTTTTCGAGTAAGATTTCATCAGCTTCAGATTGTCTTGGAGTTAGAACAAGAGTTTGCTACTGGATTTACCAATATCGGAGAATCTGAAGCTCGAGAAGTCATGAAAGTTGAAATTACACATCAGATTCCCTGATTTTGAAGAATGCAGGCCTCAGTTCAATAAAGAAAGAGAGAAATATCAGCATGTGGCATCTAATACATCCTCAACTGGCATCAGGTTTTGCTGATTCAGATATAGTTGCAGAAAAGAATGATTGGGAAATTCCAGAGATAAAGCTCGTCCGACAAGCAATTGAGAAGATTCATCTTCCAGAGGTTCAAGATCAGACATCTGATGATCAATCCATAACTATCGAAAACATTCTTGAACAACAAATACTTGGAAAAAAATCAAAGTCAAGATGAAGGTCGTGAATTCAAGTCTCGTCATTATTCACTTATGAAAAGTTTTGGTCGGGCCACTGGTATAAATGAATCTTTGAAATTGTAAAACAAGCAGAAAACACTGTACAAAATTCTCTAGAAATTGAGTATTGAAAAAAAAAAAAGAGGGAGAAAACTCCTCCTCATACGCGTCTATCTTCTAATGTTTTCAACAAAGATCGTACTTCTCTAGTTGAATGAAAATCTAACTTCGACCAGTCATTTAGTATATACTCGCTGTCTCCTCCATTTGCTTACATTAAATCACCCAAATCATCAAACCATTGATCATCATCTGCTTCACTCCGCCATGTCTCATCCTTCCATCTGTTCTCCTCGTGGTATATTCTACACACAATCCAATCGTCCAACTACAAGGAAAAAAAATAAAATAAAATTCCATCGTTTGTATAATTTATATGTCTCATCAACATACTACAAAAACTTGCAAAGAATACATCTAATAAGTTACCTTAGTATCATCTGCAACACTTTGTTGATCATCATTCGCTCTAATTTCATGCATAATCCAAGAAGTCTTGTCACCTCTAGGTGGGTTTCCTTTGTAGAATTCTAAAGTCTTTCGAAATCCAAGAGTTTCATCATTATCTACGATAGTTTCATCGTCCCCTATTACTTGCCAATATCCATCAACAGCAACTCCATCCCGAATGTTCTCAGTTTCGTTTTCTCTATCTCTTGGTGTATAGAATAACCACTCTTCTGCTCGATTCACCCCGTAATCATCTAAAAACCCAATAAAATTTATACAGTATACATTTTTCAGAAGATCAAGAAAGAAACAAATTAACATATAAAGTGAAGATATGAATATTCTACCTTCAAGATTTTCCGGGTTTAAGTCGTATACATTATTAACCACTTTAATGAGACTTCGAGGCAGCGTCTCGTTCTTGATTTTTGGGATTAAGTAATCAACAATAAGTTGAGCATCAGTGGGGTGAAAAACATAACCAGGAAAAATATTTTTAAAGTATTCATCATCATTAACTTGTGAATAATAATATTTGAGGTCTGTCGGAGCATAATAGGTTTGCTTGATCGCCATTGCAGCCGGCCTGAGAAGAAAAGAAGAGAAAACCCTAATATAAATTCAAGCAAATTGTACTTTTTCATCAGGGTTTGGAGTATTTATATAAATAACTTTGAATCTGAATCGAGTGAGAATGTATTCTATTTCAATTCTACGTCTCTTCCTTAACCGACTATGCAATTTGATATTGATACTATAATAGAAGTGTTGGAGGTTTTTGGAACAAATGGTACTTGGTTTCGTTCGCAGATGTCCGATGTCTCAGTGCGAATCTCGAAGCATTTATTAAAACCAGAAAACGCGAACGAAATTGACTTCTCATCGAAACCTAGCTATAATAGTACTTTGAGTTGAAGATGACACAACCCACTGGCCATCTCTTCTATTTCCTTAACAATTTTGTTTGTTTGAAACAAATTACAATCCAGAAAATCTATTATAAGTGAATATTAATTAGAAAACTACTTGGTTGGGGAATGATTTACAATTCTATTAAAGTTAGGAACAAATTTTGTTAGAATTCCTTTGTAAACTAATTAGCAATAGAAGACATGCACAAGAAATTATGCGGCTGAAAGTTTTAAGGAAAAAGAGAATCCTTTTGGCAGTTAAAAAAAAGAGACTTTAGCTCCCTCTTGGTTCTAGTTATTTCAAAATTCATTTTTTCTTTTGTTAATTTTATTTTTTATCATACATTCTCAATAAAATATTTTACATTTAAATTCAAAACTTTTTTCCTACATTTTAACCACACATTCTAAAAAAATTCACTATTGCAAAACTTATTTTGTTGTAATAATGAGTTTGCGCTTAATGCAATTATGATAAGGTTTTTTAACTGTCTCCAACATTTGAACCAGACTTTCTAAAAAAAATTCACTACTACAAAACTTATTTTGATGTAATAATGTGTTAGGGCTTAATGCAATTATGATAAGGTTTTTACATACAAATTTTTATTTTATTTTTTTTGTTGGTGGGATTTCTTTCGAACGGTCACTTGAATGTTTATATAGACACTCGGTTTATGTCGAGTTAATTGTCCCAATGGTCGCCTAACTTATGCCTGTGTCTTCAATTACTGACTCAAGTTTAAGATGTCGAGTTTTGATCACTAAACTTATCGAAGCATTTGATGATACTCACTAACATATTATCCGTTACAAACCTTTAATGGTATTAGTGACGTGACTAACTGAATGCCCATGTACGCCCCGTCACATCGTTAACAAATTGTCACGTTTTCGATTACTCAGTAAATTTAAAGCGTCTTGATTGCTTACTAAACATTCAAAAAAAAATTATTGCTCACTAAAGTTTGAAAATGTTTTTAATTGCTGGCTGAAATTTGAGGTTGTCAAATTTTGGTCACATAAAGTCATAAAAATGATGTCGGCATATTGTTCATTATAAAACATGTACTGCAATGGCACGATTCGCTTAAAAATAATAAAGTGGACAAACAAGTCCGTGTTGTAAATCCCACAAGAAATTATTACTCAATTGCACAATAGTTAAATTTAATTAGCTAAGCTCCTTATTACAATAATTATAAAATGTTTTCCAAATATCCACTCCATTTTTAATGCCAATTTTTTTCGTGTCATATGTTACCAAGCAGCATTCGAGGATTCTTTTTTAGATCGTTTTGCTTCCGTCACATCTTCATCTTCTTCTTCTTCTTCTTCATGGGTATCATCCAAGTTAATTGGACCATTTTGAGATACATCGTGATCGGATGGAGTGTTCGAACTACCCAAAAGTTTATTTACCTCATCATTAATGAAATTCATTTATAACTCTCAATACTTAAAATTGAATTGTAAATAAGTTGGAGATTATTGGAGAAAGAAACTAATAGCAAAAAAATTAACAGCAAAGAATGCAAAGTAAATTTTAAATTGAGGATTGGAGATGAGATTGGTAGCAAAAAATTTATTTTTGAATTGAATATTTATACAAAAAAATTGTTACTGCTGAATGCGTCTCTAAAGAACGTCTCTTAGAGACATTTTGGAAAAAGAATGTTTATAAACATTTGTTTGATGGTCATTATTTTTGAGGAAATAGAATTTTGAATAGTAATTTTTGGAAGAATGTGTGGTTAAAAAGTAAGAAAAACTTTGAATTTACATACAAAATATTTTATTGTATAAATATGTGATTGAAAATGAATATAAAAATTAAAGAATTTTGAAATAACAATTATGGTTAAGAGATGTTTGGTTGATGGGATTCCCATGACGGGACTCTCTAGCTGCTTTTTCAGGCTGATTAATTGGTGTATTAATTGCCTGCAAAAGCAGGTTAATTAATTGACGGGATTATTCCATCGTTGCCAAGGGGACAGATGTTCCCCTGGTAGGTCCCCCAACAGCCAACGTACAAGGCCTTTACCCATAGCATGGCAAAAAAAATGAGCTTCACGACCCGGCTCGTTTTTCGGTTCGTGAGCTTGCGAGCTATTCGGGGCTCAGACCAAATTTTATTTAAGAGGCTTGGCTCGGTCCATACAAACGAGTTTCGAATCAAGTCGATTCGAGCTTCTTTTTCGAATCAAGCTCATTTGTGCTTATCCCTTCCCCAACTACGCCACCTTCTATTATAGACAGTAGCGGTTATTGTACATCAATCGCAACGTAATGACGTAATGGACAATGATTGATTTGAGGAAGTGTTAGGGCTTGTTTGGGAGAGGTTGGGGAAACTATTGGAAATACATATGTTTTAAGATTATTGGAAAAAATACATAATATTCACAATAAAATAAATAATTACTTGTTATATTCAATATATATATATTTGTGTTATACAGATCGTTGTATGATTACTATGCGTTAAAGAATTGACGATTCAAAATTTAAATTTCACTTTTCAACAAGTATGTTTGAGGTTATATGAACTACGATGTACCTAAGTTGAGTGTGAGCTCCCAAACAATTCTTAATTTCGGGCTTTAGATGGTCAATCAATGGGTAGGTTCGGGTAAACTTGATAGCATAATAGGTTCGGGTAAATATTATGGTGGGGTAGGGTGGCATCAAAATATATTTCAATAATATTATATCATCGCAAAATTATGATATTTAAATACTGTTTATTTTTTTAAATGGCGTGAATAAGAAAAGTACAAATAAAGTTCAAAAGTACCTTCCAAACTTCATCAAAATTCATTTCATCAACAAAGAACCATCCAAGCCCCTAAACTCTTCGTGCAATTCCATATGAGAAAAATTTGAAATCAAAAACATCAAATACCACGTGTAAACTTTAAAATGTAATACATTATGTAAAAATATTTCTTCTGGCATTTCTAGAAGCAAACTCACTAATTAAACTTTCGTTTCTAGCAAATCTTGTTCAATGGATATCAAAGTTAGGTCATTTAATCGTTCTTATAACATAGTTGATTGTAAATAAGATTTTAATAACTTCAATTTTGAACAATTTCTTTCGACGGATGCAACAATAACATTAATTATCAGTAATACTCTATAAGCAATAGATATATTCAAAAAGCAATCCAATCTTAATATTTGAGGTCTGTCGGAGCATAATAGGTTTGCTTGATAGCCATTGCAGCAGGCCTGAGAAGAAAAGAAGAGAAAAACCCTAA